TCGACTCTGCCATTAAAAAATAGGGGTGTTTTGAGCAAAAAAACGAATAACCCTGGAGTGCACACAACACACTGAATTTCGGAACAAATCTCGCATTATTTACAGCAGCAGAATACCACAGAAATATCAGACGAAACATGGAAACACTATATATATGTATTTCGGCCTGAACCCTCTCTATTGCAATTCCAGGAATTACCCCCCATATGTGCAACCATTTTCCACCTTGGTACCACCCAAACCTGAAAACAAAATCTTAATACCACGCTGAAGCGTTTGGTAATTAGTTTCGGGTTGAAATTGATGCATAATAATTACCAAATTTTTTTTCAAAAACCAATTATTGCATTTCATTAAGACTTGGTATATAAGTGCCTGGGAACAATGCATTAGTTTTGGATTTAAATTCGAGCATACTAATTGCAGAATTTGCATAATGTACATAATCATCACATTTCATTGAAATTTAGTTCATAGATGTTCTTGGGTAATCCATAGACAAGATCAGTTCAATAATGAAAAACATGCATATTGATTATCTAATTATTATTAGCCAATTTCTGTTATCTCGAAAAATCAGATTTAATATGAACTTGTGGTAGAGGTACTCTGGAATAAATTAGACTGAAAACCACAGATGTATTATAAACTTCAATGTTTGTCAGTATTTGTTCAAATTTGGTACATACATCAAAAATGTTTGGATACATGTCTATGATGAATCATTTCGCGATTGGATCAACGATTTTAAAAATGTGATATCTTATGCATGCTTTGTCAGTTTTTGTTTAAATTTCGTACATACATTGTACATTTTAGTTTTACACGTCTATGACAATTTGTTTTACAATAAGATCAAAGATGGCCGACTTGCATCCATCTTGTTTTTTTGAAAATGCAGAATCTTGGACAGGATTTGTTGGGTTTCATTCAAATTCGCTACAAATATTATTCATGTTCGTGATAATTCGTTTTGTGTTTCGTGTCTCTTTACATGAGTCTGGACAAATGAAATTCAGTTTGGATACTACAAAAATATTATAAACTTCAATGTTTCCACATTGTACATCTCTAGTAGCAGACAAATATTAGTTGCGAAGCTTTTTGTTTGAATAGCTAATTAATTTTTAATATACTCTCCAATACTCTCAGCACACAGGAGTTCTTTCTAAGCTTTCTTTAATTTTTTATTTTGATTTTTATGAAATGGTCTTTATTTACAAGTTCGAGGCCATTGGCCCATAAAAGAACAAAGGACTTCAAAATATTTGTTTCATGGTGTAAGCTGTTTCTCTATCAGTGTTTGTTTCTGGTGACAAGATCACAACATGGACTACCGGTATTTATGATACCATGAATAAATCTGTGATGACCCATGATAAAAAAGAATTATGGCAATTTAACTGTAAAAAAACTTTTTATATTAATTTTTATATTCTCAGAAAGAAAAACAAACAAGGACGAAAAAAAGGTGAACATCAAATCTCTGATGCTGCCTTGCCGATTGATACAGAAATAGACAATCATTTTGGACCACATGGTGGTAAATATACAGCACTTGATATTACAAGTTTGCCAGAAACACATTTATCAAGAGCACCACTACCAAATAGTGTAAGTATACAGCAACTATTAGTCATAATCAGAAAACATCAACACTGAAACCAGTACCTTTTTAGATTACTGTTAAGTCCTTTTTAATAATGTGTTTACTTCTGTGACTACCATTTTTCGAGCAGTGTTTTTAATGTCATTAAAATATACTTTTATCTCATAACAATTATGGGATGTGCATTAATTATGAGGAAATTCATGGAACTATCTAGTTTATCATCTGTCATGTTATACACTGCAAATGTATTGCATAATTGCAATTACTCTTTGGTTGATGAACTTTAGTTCAATCGAGATAATTTTTGCAAATTTTATCAGAATTAGTTGAACCGTAAACTGGCATAATGTTTAGCATCTCAAAAAATGTTACATCATTTGCATTTTAATATCATCATTTGCATATTTATCATTTCTGCACTCTTATGGTTCTTTATTAAATAACGTCATCATCCTTTAGACTAACAAGAGAGAGGAAGAACCAATAAGAGTAATTCGTAATCGTATGCACAGTCTCTTAGAGGATACGTTTGCACTGGCTTCACACAAGCTGCAGA